GCGAAGTGACCGGACTTCTTGCACGCATAACACATCGGTTCGTTCGGACACGCCTCAGACCAATGGCCAGGCTGACCACAATTGAAGCACGAATAAGAACCCGGGCTCGCTCCTTTGCCAGGTTGCGTCGTTCCACCTGCTCGTGCTTGTGGTTGTGCCTGCTTCACAGCTGCTTTCAACTTTTTTCGTGCCGGCTTCACGTTGGATTCCTCGTCGCTATCATCCGTGTCGCGCTGGTTGCGCACCTTGCGCTCAGATCTCTTCGGGTTGCCGCGCGCTTGCGACTGTAGGTTGCGTGCCGCCCTCTTCTGCTCGGCCATGGTCTCCACCCAGTACTTCCCGCTCCAAACATGCCCTAGTGACACGTCCCACGTTCCAGAGTAATCATTCCACACGCCCTGTGGATTGGTAAAGAGCACCACAGCGCCTGCCTCACCATCGGTTGTTGTCATCTGACTCGCTTCTACCATGCCAGCCGGCAGTCCTGTGCCGCCAATTCCAGGGATTACCATCGTCTGACCTGTCGTCCCTGTCATGCGAATCAGGTACGGGCTCGGTGCCGTTGCCCACGCCTGCCCAATGTTTTGCATTCCTTGTGCGACGTTATCCATAGGGTCGTCGATAATGGTTGCCTTCGCCACGGCTCTCTCCAGCGTCTTCGGCTTCGGCGGCTGTTGCACCAGCTTCTTGGTTGTCTTGTCAAAGCATCGGTAGAACTGGGCGAGCAGGACTCTCTCGCTCACCTTGTTCTTGCCCACCACTTCTCGTAACGCCGCTGCGAAGTCAGCATACGTCTCACCTGGCATCATACGCCTCATGCTCACCCTCCACTTCGCGACCGACTTGTCAAGGCGTTCTCCGTACCGTCTCAACAATGCTTTCTTGAGGTATGTCCACGTTCTTCTATGATCTGTGAGCCTACGATCCATATTGACCTACCATTGTGCTGCATTCTCCATCAACTTGTTCCCTAAGATGAAGTACAGCGCTCGACCAGACCAAGTTCCGCGACCCGATTCCTCAGCACCTCGCAATGCCAAGTCAACCCTGTCGATCCAGGTCGACGCAGACACCTTGGGCGATGGTGTAAACGTGGGCAGCTCTAAGTCTTCCACACTTTTCCGCTTGGGTCGCCGCTCACGTCGTTCATACCGCTCGCGCCGTCCGCGTTCGTTGCGCCGTCCGCGTCGATCACGTCACCGCTGTATCTGAATCACTCTCCGAACTGACGAGCTCTCATCGTCACTTGTGCCACTACTCTCGTCACCACTTGCTGGCGTTACTACTGGGGGGGCTCTTCGGTGTCGGCGTCGTCGTCATCGCCGTCGGCTCCGTCGCTGTTGTCGTCCCCTCTGTCGTCGTCCGAGGGGTCTGCAGCAGCAGCGCTGGCCACACGTCGAGCCGCTGTCTTCCCCGTCGCTGTTGGAATCATCCTGGTGACCAGGGCGTCGCTCGTGCCCACGTCGTGCCGCCACAGCACCGCCGTGTCGTCGTCCGTGGTGCCGTCCACCGTGGTCATCGGTGCCATGTGCAGGTCGTAGCCGCGCCACCATGTCTCTCAACTCGCTAATGGCGGCCACCATAACCATTTCATCCGGTTGAGTGGTCGCCACCGCGCCACCCAATCCGCCGTCGTTCCCCGAGGTGTCGTCGTTCACCGGTGCCTCATCCTCGACCTGTGGATCGGCGTCGTGCTCAGAGGCAGCTTCGATGATCGCACTCTTGCCTCCCGTCTTCGTCGGCACTCGCTTCTCCACGTTCAGTGTCACGAGTACCGTGCGTGGCGCGTCTCCATCCTTGTGCGACCGGGTCACCGCGCCCACCGATGGCTCGCTCTCAGCATCGCTCCATCGTTCGTCGCTGTCGTTAGACGCACTTAGACGCGTCAATCTCATCTTGTCTTTGCCGGTGGTCTTTGATGAAACTCCCACAGGCACAGCCTTCATCATCGTTCTCGTAGTTGTCATCCTCTTGTTGGGATGCCCCTGTATGACCACCATGTAACGGGCCAATTATCTCGCCCGGCCGTGGGGCGGGCCGTCGCTCCACAGTGCTGCGCTGCGTCGTCCGCTGTCACTAGAACGTAGCAATTGATAAAGCAACAATACACGATGCTGGCCGACAGGATCCACTTGATCCTGCGCCGGAACGTACACCACCTGTGTCCGCTCCTACTTTATTTACCAATAAGTCGCCTTAGCCAACTGCTAATGCCACCTACGTTATCAACAATGCACACACACGTCGGCTCCTCCGTCGCGTGCGCTTCACCCGTGAACTCACTCACAACAACTCCAAGCGATGTGCACTGGATTC